ATTTATGCTAATGAGTTATGCTAATGAGCTCCTGCACCTCATTTTCTACAAAATGACCCCTGATAGGACCCAGCCTCATACATCACTTCTATCTACATTTGCCTGTTTATTTAATTTCTAACTCCAAATAGAATAACTGGTTCCCCTTTCATTTATTACATATCTGCCAGTCTTCCCACTATGGTCTCTACCCCTCTGCTTATCAAGAGATTATTGCATTCCAAGTTTACCAAGGGAATTGTCCTATTACTGATGTGTTGAATTACCAGCCTATCTCCTGTCCTGTTTCCTTAAACCTTTTGTCTTTCTTATAAACATATTTGCTATACAAGAATATGTTGAGAGAGAGGGAGAGAGAGACTTCATTCACTAACTTACAAGTCATAACTGGCGTGGTCGTCAGTGGTGGGATGATGGTGACAGTTTCGGGATTTTCTGCGCCAGAAGCTACAAAAGATGAAATACAGGGTAAGAACATAAGGGAAGCCAATGTTGGATCAGGCCAATGGCCCATCTAGTCCAATACTCTGTCACACAGTGGCCAAAAATACCAGGTGCCATCAGGAGGTCCAGCAGTGGGGCCAGGACACTAGAAGCCCTCCCACTGTTGCCCCCCCCAAGCACCAAGAATACAAGAGCATCACTTGCCCCAGCCTGAGTGTTCCTATCTATACCTTGTGGCTAATAGCCACTGATGGACTTCTGCTCCATATGCTTATCTAATTCCCTCTTGAAGCTGTCCATGCTTGTAGCCGCCGCCACTTCCTGTGGCAGTGAATTCCACGTGTTAATCACTCTTTGGGTGAAGAAATACTTCCTTTTATCTGTTCTAACTCGACTGCTCAGCAATTTCATGGAGTGCCCATGAGTTCTTGTATTCTGAGAAAGGGAGAAAAGTACCTCTTTCTCTACCTGCTCTATCCCATGCATAATCTTTTAAACCTCAATCATGTCACCCCTCAGCCATCGTTTCTCCAAGCTAAAGAGCCCCAAGCGCTTTAACCTTTCTTCATAGGGAAAGTGTTCCAGCCAGTGTTCCTTCTAAGCTGAGTTAGTGTGAGCTAACTCACAGTTTTTTAGTCTCTGACTCACACGTTTTTGTCTTAGCTCAGGAAGGAGGGCTCCAGAGCAAACCAATTTATGCAGCAGCCAAATTGCTCACTCACAACTTTAATGCCAGGAGCTCACAAAAAAATTGCTCTGACCCCATTGCCTGGAATGTCTTTTAAAGTAGTAGCAGTTGAAGGCTGTCGCTGCTCCTCAAAGTCCCTACAGGAGCATTCCACCCGATTCTCAGAGTGTAGGAAGCTGGAAGGGATTGAGCCTCAGAGCCTGGTGAGCAATGTAGCATCCAGGCGACTGAAAAGTATTGGGGCTCTTTTACTGGAACAAAAAACATTAAGGCCCCGGTCGCACAGGAGGTTTTGCCCCGCAAGAGGGACTGGTACAGGGGTATATACATTGATTTATACAGGGGCAGGGGTAGTTTATATATTTTAAATTAGACGATAAATCAACTGATATTTTTACCGTGGGTTGTGAGTCCAGCCACCCAGTGACTGGGAAGCCAATACGTGCATGACCCCATTGCCTGGAATGTCTTTTAAAGAAGTAGCAGTCCAAGGCTGCCACTGCTCCTCAAAGTCCCTACAGGAGTATGCCACCCAATTCTCAGAGTGTAGGAGGCTGGAAGGGATTGAGCCTCAGAGCTTGGTGAGGAATCTAGCATCCAGGCGGCTGAAAAGTATTGGGGCTCTCTTACTTGAACAAAAAACATTAAGATGCCTTTTCCTTCCGTTCTGCATCTCAAACTAAAGTTCAAGAGACTTGTTCCAATTTGCTCATTGTCTTTTGACTCTAATCTGGTCCTTCCATTTCACAATTAGTGGTAGCCGTTGCTTAGCAAACCGTAAGTGATCTCTGTCGTAAAAGAAATGAAATGCCTCCTTCTATACGGTCAGCTAAAAGATGCAGACCGTCATCTAGAGATAGCTGTGCCTTGTTCTCACTGACTCCTATGGGGACTTAATTTTGCATGTAGTAATTAAGCTTAGATATCCCCCTCACAAAGAAACAGTCCCTCATTCAGGTTTGGAATGTTATAATAGGTTCCAAAATAGGTCTGGAAGTTATAATATGTTCAAAACGCTGCCACCATTTTACTATGTGGCACTCACTAGTAAAGGTAAAGGTTCCCTTGCTCGAAAGCCAGTCGAATCCGACTCTAGGGTTGCGGTGCTCATCTCCGTTTCAAAGCCAAAGAGCCAGCGCTGTCCGAAGACATCTCCGTGGTCATGTGGCCGGCATGACTAAACACCAAGGCGCACGCTACAGAGAACTTAATTAGCGACTCATTTGCTTCCAGGACTTTCAAGGTGCTACTCATTATCTTTGAAGTCCTGAATTGTCTTGGACCAGGATACTTAAAAGATCACCTTAATTGTTAGTTAGGAACATATGAAAGGGGATTGTCTAGATAGGCCCTTTTGTGTGGTCCCCCGCTTATTGGGAAGTGACCAGTCACCAATTCAGGGGAGGTTCACCGGACACCTAGCCTTGCTAGTCTGATGCACCAAGAGACAAGTTCCTTTTCACCAAAGCTGTAAACTGAGGCTTTTGTGTTTGTTTTTCTTTATGCTTACTTATGGTCCCAGGATGGGGTTTTATATCCAAATAAACAGAGAAAATATAATCTGGTCCATTAGAATTCGTACAGGCTTCTAAACAGGAGATACATATTTTCATACTGTGAAATATAACAGAATTAAAAATGTTTCCAGACATTTATATTGTTAGTAAAATAGTAACTTTTCAAGGAAAAGGGCAATTATACTTTTAAAATTTAATTCCCGCAGCTGGCTACATCAAGATGTCATGAAATGGTTTTCGCTTCAGGCAGTATGGAATTATTATGTGCCCAGCTAACACAGAGACATTAAATATTGAACTGGAATAATATTAAAAGGGGGGAAATCCCAATTTAAATTCAATCTTTTTGTATCATTTACAAAAAAAAATAGACTGCTAATAACAGCGCGCTGCCTAATCACAGTTGTATTTTAAATATGAAATGAGAAGCAAATGAGGTTTTTTTACCTTTTTGTTGGATACAGCAGATCGCAAACATTAGGGCCCATAATGGGAGCCCCCTACCAAACCCCATCTTGACTGGAGTTTGGCGCAAAGGTACCCTGCCAGCCTTTGGTCCGGACTACCTCACCTGTATTCTCCCAGCCTTATATAGCAGCCAGTTTTGAGAACAGTCCCTGTTTGTTTGACAGGGTCTAACAAGGTGGGGCTGTGAGGATCTTAGTAGATGCGGAGGTAAACAGAGGATGCTCCTCCAGTTCCTTGGTGACTGACCAAGCATGTTTGCCTTTTGGGAGGTGTATTATTTTTTTGTCAAGGTTCCATCTAATAAAGGAAGCTGGAAATGAATAGCAAAAAGGTAAGATTTCTTCCCCCATCAAAAGCAATTGAAGATCCTGGAACAAAAAAAAAAAGAGTCAAGGATCTTTTGAGTCAGTATGTGGTTGGGGTTTTTTTGAATGACAGACACGCCACTGTTTCAGGATTCTGGTTACTGTTAAGTGATGCCCATTTAATCTGGCCAAAACCTGTCTTTCCTTGTTAGCACACAGAAGGAGTGAAAGCTTTTCATGTATGGGAAACCACTATGATTTGAGAACTGTTGTTGTGATCCTGAACAGCTCTTCTGCAAGAAAGGCTGATAGTAAGAAGAGCGCTGGTGTGTGTCAGAATGGTACCGAGTAACAACATATTGGGAACGTATATATGACTTATGCATTTTGCGATGTTATTTAAAAATGCTGGTACTGATTCTGGGATCTTTATGGCACTTAGCACACACACTGGGCGGTAACTGCTGAGCTGTCTGATCTGAGGTGGACTGGGTCCGGTGGTGGAATGAAACGCTGGAGGTTTCGGCAGTTCTGGGAGCGTCATCCTCCTGCCCATGTACTGTTCACCACATTCTTTACACACATAAAACATTTATGTTTCACAGCCAGTGACTTGCAGATCTTAGGTGTTTCCATCTGTCTCAATATGGCTGTCTGACTTGGTTTTCATTACTGGCATAGGTGGGTGATCAGTTCCAAACTGGAACAATTTGTGCATACATACTATCACACTGCTTATTGGGAACTGTTGACACCCCACTCCCACTGACTAAGCACAAAGAGGGGCTGAACTGTATGAAAAGTAGGTCATTTTAATTACTTGGACCATATTCTGGGGAGATACCACTTCCAGTGATACAGAAACTTTCATCTAATGACTGTTTACTTGAGAGCCAGTTTGGTGGAGTGGTTAAGTGCACGGACTCTAATCTGGGAGAACCAGGTTTGATTCCCCACTCCTCAACTTGCACCTGCTGGATGACCTTGGACAAGCCATAGTTCTGGCACAGCTGTTCTTGAAAAAGAGCAGTTTCTGTCAGAGCTCTCTCAGCCCCACCAACCTCACAGGGTGTCTGTTGTGGGGAGGGGAAGGGAAAGGAGTTTGAAAGCCACTCTGAGACTCCTTTGGGTAGTGAAGGGCGGAGGATAAATCCAATCTCCTCCTCCTCCTCCTTCTGCTACTACTTGCTGCAAAGGAGCTTATTTACCAAGGCACATTTTGCCCATGATGACCTTGTAGCATCTATATATCTAATTCTGAAGTGGAACCTCAGTGTGCAGATCATTAAACAAGCACACTGGGGTCAGGATGAGAGTAAGGGTACGTTTGGCTGGGGAAAGTGAGATTTTATGTTGTTCGTGAGGTCATGAGATTTTGGACTCCATTTTCGGGGAGCAAAAGGGAGGAGCTGCCTGCCAACTGCTACATGAGTTAGGTGCGGGGATAGCCCTGGCCCTGTGAGGGAGGAGTGGGACTTGCGGCCTCCCATTGGCATCTCTGCATGAGCCGGACAAATGGAGACAGTGGAGCTGCAAGCAGACTGGTGTGCTGGGAGAGTCACTCACTGCTGCCACCATTGACACATAAACCAATCAGGCTGAGGAGCCAGTGCTGCCGGCGAGTGGGAGGGGAGGAGCTATCACCATGGGAACAAGACAGGTGGCCCAACTGGCAAGTGGTGGCCTAACAAGAGTAGCAGGGGGAGGAAGAAATCTCCCTCCTGCGAAGTCTCGTAGATCCTCTGCTTGAACAGAGCAGTTTAGGTAGGACAGCCTGTAGAAGGAGCTCTTTGGGATTTGCTCAACATGGTTTCTGATTTGAACTTTGAGCAAAACACCGAGGCACTCTGTTGAGGGGCTTTACTTCTGTACAAGCCATCAGTTCAATCACAGGAGATCTAAATGTCAGTCACATTTTTCGGCGTTCTCAGCATCCCTAGTGAAGGTCATCTTTCACCTCAGTCCTCTGTTCTCACAGATATGCTTCTGTAGGATATTGTATATTCCAGTGAGATTCACCTTTCTCCTCCTTTGGCTTGTCAGTGCTGTCTCCAAGGTCTAGATGAACAAGTAGACTGACTCATTGTAAGGCACCTTCTTATGTAATCTTTTGTCCAATTGTCCCAGAATAGCTTACCTGTGTTTGCCTCTGTTTTACCCTCATAACATCCTTATGAAGTAGGGCCCTGTTCACATGGAGCATTTGCCGCACTAAAGATACGGATGATAGGTGGATTTTCCGGGCGCGATCACACCGCAACATCTGGGAAGTGTAGTGCACCCGTGGCTAACCCATGGCTTCTTGCCGAAGATACGGAGTAAAAAACTAGTACATACGATGTGCTGGTTTCCGGAAAACACGGGGCAAGGGCGGGCATCTGATTGCGTTTTCGCTGGAATCCCATGGCATCCAGCGCCTGCCCATGTCCCGTCGCAAACTGGATGTTATTGGGTTATCAGTATAACTTCAGATGTTTTACACACTGTGCAAGCAAAATACAAATATCAATGGACAAAAATTATTTTCAATACCTAGGTATAAAAATACCTATAGACTTATCCAATCTTATTAAAGTCAGCTACTCAGATCTACATAAATCCATTACAACTCAAATATCACATTGGAACTCTGGACTATTTACGTGGACTGATAGAATAACCATTTTAAGATCATATATTCTCCCTAAATACCTATACTGTTTCTGTACATTGCCAGTTTTTCTTTCCGAACAACAACTAAAGAAATGGCAGAGATATATCAATAAGTTTATTTAGAAATCAAAACCACCTTGAGTTCCTCATAACACTATGCGTAGAGCTAAAAGGAAAGGAGGCTTAGCAACACCCAATTTACATCTTTATTATAAAGCAACAACATTAGCCATGCTGATACGTCAATACCAAGATAAAGATCTCTTAGATTGGAAATGAATAGAAGAAGCAACTTCAAACAACACCAAGATACAGGAAATGCTATGGGAAAAGCAATGTTCTGCAATTCTTAAAAAGACATCAAACCCCTTTTTAAAGACTACGCTTAAAGTGTGGTACCAAACCAAAGCAAAGCTAACTTCGACATATTCCCAACTAAGCACCTTTGTAGGCCAAAAATGGTTTAAACCTGCCAAAGAACCTGGAAATTGGCGGACATCACTCAAATAATAGATATAGTTCAGAATCACAGACTCCTCACGAAAGCTGAAATTGAAAGAAGATACAACACTGTTATACACTGGTTTGAATACCTACAACTGAGACATCTAATAGAGTCAACTGAATTTAAGCATTCTCTTACAACTCCTCTTACGGAGCGAATCCTATACAAAGGATGCAATAAAAGAGGTCTAATTTCCAAAATATATCAAATGCTACTTGAAAAAAATAATACTAAACTATGAGTTATCAAAACGTATGGCATTCGGACCTGCAGCAAACACTAGACGAAGAGCAATGGGACTCCATTTGGAACACTCAAAGTAACATCTCAAAATCGCTGGAAATTAGAGAAGCATCTAACAAAGTGCTGTTACGGTAGCACCTGACGCCAGTAAAAATCTCATCTATTTACCCACAAGCCTCTCCACTTTGCTGGAAGTTGTGCGGAGAGAAGGCCACGTACTTTCACACTTAGTGGTCATGTAAACACATTCTCAACTTCTGGAAATCAATTATAAGTCAAATTCAGATACTTACTGGGTACGAAATACCTCTTGAGCCTCAACTCTTGCTTCTAAACCTTTGGCCGCATGAAAGCTTACCTAAGAAAAGGAAACAACTAATAAACACATTAATAACTGTGGCAAAAGTGGTAATAGCCAAGAATTGGAAAGATAGGTTCCCTCCCTCAATAAACCAATGGCTTTATAAAGTATGAAGAAGAAGAAGAGAAGAAGAGATTGGATTTATACCCCCGCCCTTCACTTGGAGTCTCAGAGCGGCTCACAAACTCCTTTCCCTTCCCCTCCCCACAACAGACACCCTGTGAGGTGGGTGGGGCTGAGAGAACTCTGACACAAACTGCTCTTTTTCAAGGACAGCTGTGCCAGAGCTTGTGACTGACCCAAGGTCACATCAGCAGGTGCAAGTGGAGGAGTGGGGAATCAAACCCGGTTCTCCCAGATTAGAGTCCACGCACTTAACCACGACACCAAACTGGCTCTC